TAAAACCAGAAGTCCCCTTCACGGTTGAGCTCCTCCTCTGGAAAGAATGAGGACGAGTTGCCCTACTCCCAAGAAACGTCAAAGGAATAGCGGTGAGACCGACTTGATCACATGCTCAACCGGATTTCTTATTAGTGCAGAAGCCAGAAAGAATGATTCAGTGAATTAAAGTGAGCTGTCTTGGGTTGATCCACTTGATTCAAATGTTGACAGATCGACACGTGGAAATCGCATCTGAAAAGGGCCGAGCTCAGGATGAACATGGCGCGGAAACCTTCGAAGACCTTCCGCTGGACGCACTTACCCTGCCAAGGCCTCGTTCCTTCAGCCGCCGTTGGTATTGTTCTCTGGTAGTTTGAAGTACCGAATGACATCGCTCGGGTACGCGTACCGACAGAGAAGTTCGAGCTCCCATCTCCACATCCAGGTATCCTGAAACGAGGAGAAGGTTCAACTCAATAAACTTGGTTATCTATACAACGTGCTGTTAAATATTAGTAATGACTAATCACTAGTACAGATCTGGAATTTCTAAATTAAACTAAAAAAATGCGAAAAAACAGCAAAAGTTACTCATTAGGTTTCAACGAGGCCATACAAAGCTCTAAAACGAGTTCATATACAATTTATATAAATATGAAATTATGCTATCTATGCTGAAATATTGAATAACTATAAGAACCACTAAGTACAAAAAATAAATACAAAATACTGCAAATACTCACGAGAATCACTTCCACGGCGATCAGTTCTGGGCAGTTGTGGTGAAAGCAGAGTGGGCAGTTCTCGATCATCAAATGCGAACTGAGGTAGGTCGATCCGGGATAAGCGACGAGCAGTGGAAAAGAGGGGACCGACAAACCTAAAAATGGAAAGGAATCGAAGAAGGGTTGACCCGGGTGACCGAGCCAGTCCGAAAATACCCCACAAGCTGAATTTCGAATAAAGGGTTATAAGCAGAATTGGTATGCACAGCGCCGCTAAAACGTTCTGGTTGCTCAAAACCTTATCGATTAGGTACGGCGTGGTAACTAACAAGAATCTCTCGAACTTAAAGGCACCTTCAACGATTAAAAGTTGCAGAGTTAATAAGATTCAAACGTGAAGCAGCAGCTGCCAAGTTTCCCGACAATGGAGGAAAACCAGAAGAACCTACCAAAAAACCCTACATAAGGGTTCTTTTTCATAGTTGATTCGAGACGTTGTACAAACCTACTACGAAGAGATGTCTAGCATAGCATAGAGGTGGCAACAAACAGAAATGAAAGAGAAGGCGCGAATATCAAGGGATCAGAGCGTTGAGAAACTTAAAGGCAGTGTTCACGAGGCTGGGGGTAGTGCGATTTTGATGAGATCATTGGACGCCGTTGATGGAAGGGTGTGAAGAAGCGGTCCCAACCACAGCCGCCGGCATGCTAAGGGGTCAAGCTCACCAATGACGTTCCATGTGATGCACCCCTGTCTGTGATTATCGTTGGAATTGGAAAAGGAGACTTCTCGAGTTTAGTGAAACTTGCAACAAAGAGGAAAAAAGGAACACGATCTTGTCTGCAGGTATACTTAGCCGTGTGGGAACTGAT